ATTTCACGTCTTAATAAGACGGCCGATATTTGCAAATTCAACATCTATGTATTTTTTAGATGAGTTTATTATGATACAACTATATTTTATTTTTTTTACATATGAATTTATTATACATTTAAGTACATTTATTTATTTATTTTTACAATATGATAAAATACTACTATTAAATCTATTTTTTAAGATACATATATGTCATACCTTGTATTTTACTCTTTTTCTAAACTAACCAATTACTTATCATTGATTTTTAAAGCAAATAAATGAACAAGTTTTTCTAATCATATTTTCCTAAATTTAGTTTAAGGACTATCTTCGGATAGGCTCTAAGGGGTGCTTAACACCTCCCCTCGAGTAACCAAAACCCTTACTCAGAATCTCACTGGTTTCGCAAATCTAAATAGAGTTTACATTTACATAAATAAAAATGGTTTTTCTAATATTTTCCTTAAAATTTAGGTGGTGACTCTAAAACAAACAAAATATTTTTTTTTGAAAATCAGAGTGTCAGCCACATTATGTTGTGAACTGTTTTGACCGATTCGAAATAAGGTGCGACAGCGTGGCGACTCTGCTGGGGAACTTACTTAGGTTTTAACCTTAGAAAAACTCAATTTAGGAGCAACATTTGTGATTACGTGTTTATTTTTCATCTTGCTATTGATATATTATTTTGACTGACAAGTCGCAAGTAAAATCCAAGCTTGTGTTCCTTATTTATTTTAAGACATTACTTGTTACTGGTTTCCTTACATTATTATTTGCACATTCTATCGAGTCTTAGTTGTACACGCACACACTATACACGCGAGGGGTGTTCATGCACTCCTCCGAAACTCTCTTTGGATTTCTTAGTTTCAGAGTTGGTGCAGTTAAGATAGTGCACCTTCTTGCAATTACTCAGTCCCACTCTCAATCATCTAGGAACATAATCTTACTCTTAGAATAGATCATATTGCATAGCCTTAGGCAAGATAATATATGGTATTGTCGTTGCATTTAGGAAACCACCCAAATGTCAATGAGTTTCTTCTTTAAAACTCGAGACATAAACTGTGTGAAATTGATATAAATTATTCAAACTTAAACACTTAACGGATTTGGAGCAAATAAACTCATCATACCCTTTACCATTTCTTTCAGATGCAAATCAACTAAAACCTTCCTGATATCAGGATGATGACTGAGGTCCCCCGAACTTTGAAAGAGTGGTGAGGAAACATACGAGTGGCCTACGGAAATGAGATTATGCTACACTTAGGGTCGTTAACTGATTTGCTGAATGTGGAGGCAAACAAGTTACTCATTACTCTAATGATTGAATTTTGGCAACCAACAACGATGACCTTCCAGTTCACAGATTTTGAAATCACACCAATATTGGAAGAGATAAGTCAAATTGTTGACTTACCGTTGGCTGGCAGAGTACCTTTGTCCCCGTGGACTACATCAAGAATCAGTTTTCTCCAGTCTTTGGATTTGAGGGTAGCCAATGTTTGCGAAGAGTTGATGAAGGATGGGTCAAGTTGGATTATTTGTTTAAAAGGTTCGGTCGTCAAGATAGCTATGATAGGTTCCATCAAGAGTTCTTCATCTCCAGGGTTGATTGGGAGAGACTCAGGGCTATTGTCTTCGTGACGGCTTTTTTGGGTATTATGATCTTCCCAAAGAAAAAAGGGTGTGTCGACATCAACCTACTACATATGGTCATCTTCATCTTTAGGGGACCTATTAGAGTTACCATCGTACCCATGATCTTGGCGAAAATATTTTGATATTATCCCTTTGCTCTAGAGGATATGATCACTTTAAGGGAAGTAACTTGTTACTGCAGATTTGGGTGTTGAAACACTTTTATCAAAGACATGCAGAAAATAGCGTTGAAGCAGACTTACGCAACAAAATCAAAGCCATGCAACGAGATTGGGCATGTGGGATGCCCCAAATGATGGAGATGGTTAGCGCCTTTTCCTGACCCACATTACAGGGAACCGCATTCAATGGCGACTACCGTGGGTTCATGGCCGAGCTTTGTTGAGAACTAACCAAGCCTATTTCATTGAGTTGATTGGGTTGGAAGGCTTCCAGCCCTACGAACCTTTAAGAGTCCTCCGACAGTTTGGGATTACCCAAGGCGTTCCTCTATGGTCAAATATGGCATTGATAGAGGTCAGTTATGAAGGAAGAATTCCGATCAAAATGATTGCTGCTTTGGTACAAGGATGGTGCGGTATTCTTGACTCAAACATGTGGGTTGAATCGTGGTGCACGCCTGAATATTATACTTGGTTTATGATAGGAGGAATTCTCGCTAGGCCTAGTTATGAGGGAATCTTGGGGTTCACAGACACTCAAAGGTCAAATCAAATTGGCATGGAGCTATTGAACCTCATACACATCACTACGACCATGTATCAGCAGGTGACCCAACGGTCTATCGACCATCTCATACAGGCAGTTGATGATGATCCAAATGAAGAGATGGAGGAAGACCCAGAAGAGGATCCTAGAGAGCCAACTGAGGAGATGGAAGAGGATCCAGAAGAATACTCAGAGCATGACCTTAATTTGTATGACCCTAGAGATGGAGGAGTGATGCATATAGAGGATGAACATGTTCCAACAGTAGAAGACGCTCACTCAGAATATGGTTCCATAGGGTTTGATGAAAGGGAAGATTCAAATAATTGGGAATGAAAAATCGACGAATCTCCAGAGTATCACCCGGGTCCTTACTATGATGTGAACGATGATGATGATGATGCTCCAACCTGGCCGTAGATCATCTTTCTTCTTTGAATTCCCTCATAAAAAGGTTGTATGACCTATCCCTCTTGTATGCCTTATGGCGACCCATGTACTTTCATTTCTTCGACTTTCGACCACCTACATCGTTGTAATAGCCAAACCCTAATCAATGAAGTTATGTTTGCTCCAAATCTAAAATGGGTTTAAATGGATCATTTATTATCAAACTAATTGCAACGTAGGCCTACCTCAGGCAAAAAGAGGTTCTATATTAGGGCGCGCTTTGAATGTCGCCGAATTGGCGTATATATGTGTTACATCTACTTATTTGTTACAGCTTTTAATATTTCCCAAACTAACATAGTTTTATTTTTCTTTGTTTTCCTTTCTTTATTTATCCCCAAAAGTACGTTGATTTGTGTCAACTTGCAAACTGGCTTACTCACGATACAACCTTCGATCAAAGGGAAAAATGAGTAATAAAGACGAGTTCAACACTGCCGCAAACATAATAGTACCTATTGAGAATCCCGAAAGTTCTCGAAGTATAGCTGACATTCAAAACGAGAAGAAAATGGCTCAAATGGAACAACTCGAGATCTTGAGGGAAGAATTGAGTCAAGTGCGAGACTTGGCTAAACTATCTACGACCACTTTCCCTACTTTCAAGACACCTATCTACTTCCCAAAGTCTGATGCCTTCTGCCGACTTACCAAATCAGCCAGAACTGACTCAACACGCTCCTACTCACGGTCGAGTTCCACCAGTTTCTCCAACCGCAGTCAGGACCGTTCCTGACCTTTCTAATCGCGGCCCTACCATACCAACAATGCAGCAGATACTCGGGGCACATGTCGCCGCTCCCTATGAGACACATGTTCCACCCGTATATGCTGCTGGAGCTCCTGCCTTCACTATGCCAGTTGTGGTTAATGTCCCATACGATGTCAATCAATATGAAGAAATGGAGAAAGATGCTCGGCTGAAAGAAGATGCATCTATAAATGCCCAGCTTCAGGGTCTAAGAAAAGCATTGAAAAGCTTACAAGTCACTAGAGGGACAGAGAGTTTGGATTATGATGACTTGTGCATCCATCCAGACATTCACATGCCGGTAGGGTATAAACCACCGAAGTTTGACATGTTTGATGGAAAGGGTGATCCTCACGCACATTTAAGGGCATATTGTGACAAGTTAGTCGGTGTAGGAAGAAATGAGAAGTTGAGGATGAAGTTGTTCATTCGGAGTCTGTCTGGAAAAGCATTAACCTGGTATACCCGCCAAGACCCTCGCAAATGGTGTGTCTGGCAAGAAATGGCCGAGGACTTCATGACTCGTTTCAGATTCAATATTGAAATTAGTGCTGACAGATTCTCATTGGCCAATATACAGAAGAAGCCATCTGAGAATTTCCAGGAATATGCACGACGTTGGAGAACTGAGGCCGCGAGGGTGCAACCTCAGGAATATATGAAACATTTTTATTAATATTAAATGTTACACTTAAAGTAACCTAAGGAACACGTAGTTAATTTTGGAGCTCCAGGAATATACCAAATGGAGTGACGATGGCAATGGAAGTGAAGTGGGCTTACCAGTGGGAATTGAAAACACCATCGCAAAGCCCTTCTTGGCAGAGTTCACTATGGGCTTATTCTGCTCCAAAAGCCCATGGAGCAACTAATTCAAACTGCATTGTTTCCTACATGTTCTTCCCTTGAACTGCCCCTGCCAACTGCCCAACCATTTGGACAAAAATGAAGTTGACAAGAAAGATCGTTCTGACTATGGTTTCAAAGAAATAATTGGGGAAAAGAATAAAAAGATGTTTATCATTCAAGGTTGGGCGCCACAACTATTAATCTTGAAAGATTGAGCAATTGGTGGATTCTTAACTCATTGTGGTTGGAACTCTGTACTTGAATCTCTAGCAGTAGGTGTTCCATTTATCACATGGCCCCTGTTTTCACAAAACTACAAACTTTTCGAGATCAAGCAATGTGCTTTCAAGAATTCCTCTTGAAATTTATGTTTTAATATCAATGTGTGTGTTTTTAATTTTCTGCTCTGCAGCCTCATTTGTCATTAGAATTTGTGATCCTTAGTTTGAGCCAGCCTCTATACAATCCATTTTGTGGTATAAACACCAAACAAACGCAGAAGGAGGTGAATTGTGTTGTGTCAGATTTTCACTTAAAGTGATGAATCAAATTATGATCTAAACAAATAAAAGGGGAGGCAAAATAAAATAAAAAAGAGAGAATTTTCTTTCATTGAATAATTCGATGGAAAGCCTTATTATTGAAGAGAGATAAACATAGTAGGTCTGTCTAAATACTAGAGAATTACATAATAATAATAGTAATGTTTTAAGAAACCTTTAAGAAAGAAACGACATCAATGACAACAGTGACCACGACAAAGACGAAGAAGGATGATACGAGGAGTTGGCCAAGCACACCTGCGTAGTTCATAGTAATAAAGACATGATTAGCTCCAACAATGAAGCCTACCAGGTTCAATAGGGAAAATGCTATCAATGGTACAGCAAGTATCCCTATTCCTTGGAAATCAAATTTCCCCTTCTCATATTTCTTGAGCTTTTCCTTGTCAATTGCCTTGTCTGACAAATACAATTTCTCTCCTTCTGTTCCGATTATCTTGTCTAATATAGCTTTCAATCCTCCTAACCATATTGCACTAACTCCCATCATCATCAGTGCCCTGTATTCCATCCACCACGATTTAAATGATCCCCCTTCTGGAATTGACTCCGACATATTCTCCAAAATTGTCGATATGAAAGCAATCACATACACTGCAAACCATGGATCATGTACCTCCGGATAGACTTGGAAGCCAAACAAAAGACCAATAGAAGGAATACTAGCATATAGAACCATTCCCCAAGAATAAAGAGTGAAATATATCAAATAGGCATAGCACATGCATTGGAGAGTTTTCATCCTGCTACGCAAGCCATAAGTGATGGGATTGAGATGTGATAAACCAGCTTGTGTAAGTGCAGCAACCCATTTTATGAGCTGTGAGGAGAAACCTTGCATATCAACTGGGGCACAACCCAAGAAAGATGGCCTGTCTGGATACAAATAAGTCGATCTCCACCCTTTGCAGTGTAATAGATAACCAGTAAAAGTGCTCTCCAAATGACAATCGTATGAATAACCAATCTGCGTAACAAATATTAAGTCACAGTCAATCCAAACAGACTCTTAAACAACAACATATATATATATATATATGAAAAGTCTTTCCTTTTTCTAACAATAAATAAATAAATATGACTTGCCTCTTGACCCCAATGTGTGCCATCCTCGTATGCACAAGTAGCTAAGGTCTTAGCTTCCTCTACGATATCTTCTGATATGACTTTCTCTGCCTTAACATAACCATTTTTCTCCTCTAGTGAAGCAAGGAACTTTTTACTCCTTCCAAAATGCTTTTCCGGTGAACTAAGATACTCCTCTGTCACCATCACCCAACAAAACCATAAACATTTTGACAATTTTTTTAAAAAAATTTACAAATAACTAACCAAATATTTCTTTTATTTTACTAAATTAATGTTATCTGAAAATCTTAATTTGACTATTGGTTATTTAATCATAAGGGTAATTTTGGAAGAAAAATATAGTTTCCTCTAGATTTTTTAAAATGGACTAGTAAAAAAGTCAGGATCTATTTTTACAAAAAAAAAAATCAAATAAAAATGAAAAGGACGGAGACAAACTCTACTTTTACTTGTTCAATGTACTAAATATAGATATTCTATTTTTTCTTTGTTCAATTTAGAATACCAAGAAATAATCTACTTCCTCTGTTGAAACAATATTTATCCAAAATTAAATTTGCACACTTTTTAAGAAACTATAAATAAAAGAGTAATTTTACTGTAAAAATCCTTATACGTGGACAAACAAAACAAAAAGGAGAGGAAATTTTATTAATTAAATAAAACTTCTTCAATCAACTTTTCTTATAAAAAAATTGATGATGAAATAGGAAAACAATAAAAAATATAGAGAGTAAGGTTCTACACTAATAAATATAATATCTTAAAAAATCTAATAGAGAAATAATTAAAATTAATGATAAAGATAAATTAAGAACTAAGTATAAAATTATCCATTGATTTTAGACAAATATTATTGGACATTCAAAATAATATTATGGGCAACTATTATCAAACACAGATAGAGTAAATTTCTAACATACCCTTTACTCCTGGACTCGTGTATAACGCCTTCCTCTTCAGAAAATAACCAGTTCCTGATAACACTGGGCCTTGGATACCATCCATTCCATGCCATATTGTCTATAAAAATAAAAATAAAAAGTAAATTAGCATAATCAACCTTAATTTAAAATAATTTCACTACTAAATTTAAATTAAGTAAGAAAAAACCTTGTAAGCCTGTCTAATTTTGACATCATAAATATCGGACTTGCTGACATTGTAAAAGACTTGAGGGAACTGAACATAAGCTAAATCAGATGATAGCTTTGGATCAAGATGAAAACACATTGCCTTCCTAGCTGATATTGGATCATGACAGAAGAAATCACAATCTAACACCAGTATATAGGGGGCATTACTCATTATTCCAGAAACTCGAAGCTGCAAATATAAAATTTTAATTAAAAAAATATAATGTTAGAAAATTGTGTTATACAGCTAGGAGACACACGAATTTAAATATTTAATTAATTCATACAAGAGCATTTGCAGATCCACCCTTGAAGTGATGAAGACGGTTGAATCTTCTTTCACGGGATACATAAACTAGCAAGGGCATTTTCGTTAAATCATCGGCACTCTTTTCGCTCTCCGTTTTTCTGTCGTTTATTACCTGCCAAAATCTTTCATCAGAAACGAAGACAAAAATAAAAAAAATAGAGTATATACAGATCTTTATCTGAAAAATGCATTTTCATTTATGGTTCAGAATATACCTTAATAAACGAGGCTCTATCAGGCACTACGTTACCATTGATTTTTCCAGATTCACCAGCACGTTCCACATTCTGCTGGAACACTTCATATTTCAACTGCAAATTTTTTTTATTTTTTTTTAACCGTTAGTTCATCAGCAAAAAAATGTATCCATGGCTTAATGAATAAGACACTTGACTTCTAATACAAAACATACTTTAATTTCTTTCATTTCAGCATCAAAATCATCATTCTTAAGAACACGGTCATCATCTCCTAAAGGAGAAAAAAACGCTTTAGGGCATCTGGTTTTAATTCCATACTTCCTACAGAAAGGTAGCCACAGCTTTGCAAACACACATGCTTCTTCCATGGCGTACAATGACAAAGGACATCCTCCATCATCAGCCAGATACACAGCCAATTTATCCGTAGGATAATCAAGAGCCATTGCGGATATCACAGTGTTCATGACATCCACAATTGGCTCTTTCTTAGGATTGGCAGTGAATACCATTACGTCAATTGGTGGTAGATCGGAATCTTTGCAAGTTATGTTTTCAGGGAAAACATCTCTTTCAACAGGGCGCCAACGAGTTCCTTGTCCGAAGAACCACTTGAGAATGAAACTAAATTCACCAAAAGTGATGAGTACCCAAGCAAGGGCTTGAAAACTCAGAATGTTTTCGAATTTAAACAAATTAGATACACGGTAGTATATTAATGCAACCATGATTATAGAATGGATGAACATGTGGAGTCGGTATATGGTGGTGATAGGTTGTGGAACAGTGCTTTTGTTGAGCTCCATGGTTTTTTTCATGGTGGTTTCTCTTCACTACTCCCTCTCCACTCTTTTACTCTTTCAGCACACTTATATATTGCTCTCAATAGTTTTGGTTGTAAGAGAAAATGACCAAAATGATCTTTGTATTAAATAATGCTTTATTTTGATCTTTAATATATTTCAATTGATTGGAAAGATCCTTAATGTATAACAAAATACCATTACTATTTACAATCACTTATGTTTTCACCAAGTAAATACTTATTTATCTTTTATGTGGTATTGTTTGTTTGACATGATATTTAAATAAATAAATAAAATTTATGATTTAAAATAATTTTTAGATATTTGTGTGGTAGTAAATTATTTAATTAAGAGTAAAAAAAAGAATTTTAATGTTAAATTGTACGTTTCTAATTATAGTAATAATGATATTCTTTCTGGGACGAACTATAAAAAAAAAGGTGTCATGTAAAATGGAATAGAGGGAGTATGAGTTTAGGGGTTGTTTGGTAGTTGGATAAAAATTATGTTATTCATTTATTAATATTTTTTATAAACTATACAACGTTTGGTAGGTAAAGAGGAAATGAGTCATGCATAAATAAAATTAATATGACATTTGGTTGACAATTTGAAAACCCGCATAATTAATACATATTTAAGTTATGAGAAATATATGTATTATTTTATACATGATACAAGATGAAATAATTAATACATGTATAACAACATGAATAATTAATCTCTACATAACTAATATCTACCTAAAATAATATATAGATTCACTAATAACTAATCCTTACATTACTTGCATAATTCTAACTAGCTACCAAACGATCCCTAAGTCTATTAATCCATGTATCTCAATTTAAATGCTATTTTTTGGATTTCTAGATTTAATTTTTATTTTTTAATCTTTGATTGAAATTTCTTCATACTTCTTTAAAATATTTTGAATTGTTAACTATTATGCTTTATAATATTTTTACAACATTTTTAAATATATAAATTTTAATTTTAAAAACTTGAATATTTCATGTCCAAACTTGAATTTTTAAAAATTTCCAAACATTAGAACTTGACCCAAACACTAGTTTTTTCTAGTATTTGAAAATTTTGAAATACTTAATAAATATATTTATCAAGTTATATGACCTAACACCACTTTTTAAGTTTTTCCATTTTTTTTTTGGGGACTAAACGGACCTTAAATTGTTTGATATTCAAAATTTGCGGTAGGTCCTAGTTCCTACTATGCCACTCTGAGACTCGAGAATATATTTGAAGGATAAAATGACATGGTGTGACTGCTAAAAAATAAATATGACAACATTTGGCCATAATTTTTACAAACTCTCCGGTTTAAACCCTGAAGTACAAATTAATGTCATATTCTAACCCGGACAAAATATCTTAACCCTTGTCACTAATGTCAGACAATTTTTAAATGCAATTGCAAGGCTCATTTGAGTGCACATGTTCTAAATTATTTTGTTTTGATGTTGAATGTCTTGTCTCTATTACTCTGCCCGTTTCTATTTAATTATCATCATTTTAAATTTTACGTTTCTTAAGAAGTTAGATAAGTTTATTATTGTATTCTTATTTAATGTTTTATAAAAGTCAAATTTTCAATCAATAAAAATTAACAAATTTATTTTGATTAATTAATTTGGCCAATGAACATTAATTATTTACTTAATTTTTTTATAAAATATAATATTATTTATGTATTTTTTATTTTATGAAATAACAAATATTAAGCAACATCTATTTTAAACATCTACTTTATTGGAACCAATCTCTTATCAAAAGGCCATAATTTCAAAAAAAGTTAAAAATTGTCCGTTCAAAAAAATGTTATATTATTGTAATTAAAAATAATTTACTTTTAAAATCCCCCCCCCCCACCACCACCACCACCACCTTCTACCAACCTACACCTATATGTGTGTGTGTTTTCCCACCCCACCCCAACCCTACCTCCCCCTCCACCCATCCACCCCAAAATTTTGTATGTTTTCCTGAAAAGAAAAATCCCCCGCCCCCCGCCCTCTCAGTCCCACCCACCCTTTAATTTTTTTGAAAAATAAGTTAATATTTTTTAAAATTAAAAATTAATATTATTATTTTTTAGCACAATTAAGAATTTTAAGTAGAAGTGAATGATCTATTATGGATCTATACGAATACTCATATTTTATCTATTTTGACCATATTTACAGGGGCTCTTAAAACAACTTGAACTCATATTTACTTAATTAAAATATGAGTGATCCAAGTCATTAAATATGAGTTAAATAGACTCATTTCATTAATATGGGCTGAAATTGTCATCTAAGGTACACTATTATTACTTTCCGGTAGAATTTATCTTCCTCCCCCTCTTCTTTTTCTTTTTCTTCTTTTCTAAAACATCTTATTTCTATTTATTGAAGCACTTGTGAAGTGATTTTAATAGTGGATTGAGGTTCTAACATGGTAGTTGCATGTAAACTGATTTTAATATAGAAATTGTATACACAATACTATAATGGAAAAATTGTGTAATTAGATAAATATGTGATATGTATTTACAATACACCATTATAATTGGAGAGTATTATAATTTGTAGCTATTTTCTCTCTCCTCTCTTCCTCTCTTCATCGTATCTCTCCTTCTCTCTACACTATCACTTGCCTCTCTCCTCTCTGTATCTCTCCCCCGCCTCTCTCCTCTCCATGCCTCTTCTCTTTCTCTCGTCTCTTTATGCCTCCTCTCTCTTAATACAAATACAAAGGATAATAATAAATTATATAAATACAAATGTTAACAGACAACTATATAAATATAAATGATAAAAATAATTATAAAAATGATAAATGTCAATTATAAAGATCTTTTTTAGTGATACAAAGTACAAATACAGATGTATTCACTGATATAACATTGATACAAATGATAACATCGATTAGACAAATACAAAATATTGAACTTGATACAACATTGATACAATTGTATTCTTTGATACAACATTGATATAATTATATTCGTTGATACAACATTGATACAATCATATTCACCAAAACAATTTATTCATTGATACAAATTGTATTCGGATACACAAATATACATACTAGTTACATATAATCACTTATCCAGCAAATATACAAATACAATTCATCCTTTTCTCTCTATGCCCTCTATCTCGCTCACCTCTTTCATCTCTCTCCCAATCTCGCTCGACTCTCTCTCCTTCTAACATGTAGCTATGAATCGTAGTCAAGCAAACTATAGCTATTTTGCCTGATTATATTTCTAATCTTGGCTATTTTTGCAATTTCCTCTAGTTTAATTTTGAATAAAGATTGTAAAACAATGTACAAAAATATTTTTAGGGGACGTTTGACCATGTGAGATGAAATTATGTTTTGAAATCATGAAAGGAAATCAGATAAGATGAAGTTGAAGTTTTGTTTTGGCATGTAATTTTGACTTTTAAGTTGTATTTTTTACTCATAAAAAGAATCATAAGTTGTGAAAACTATCAAAATGCTTCAATTCTTTATGCAATATTATTGAATAAGCAAAAGTATAATATACTTTCACAAAGGAATTCTTAAAAAAATACAATGTTTATTGATCAAACTTTAGTTTAATTAAAAGGTAAAATCTAACATGAATTATAGTGTATTTCTCTTTAATATAATTCTCCCATGTAGTTCTTAATTGTATGAAGCTAAATATCCTTTCATGTTCCGAATACCAACATAAACAACATAGTGTTTATCTACCAACAAAAATATTTTTTTTGTAAATAATTACTAAAGAAACATGTGAAGTAAATGAGATAGTTTTATGTATAAAAAATAACATTTATTTTAAGCGATGTCTTTTTTCAACTGGTTGAAATTAGTAGAGGTATAATTTAAAGTTACCATGCAGTGGAAATGAAAATTGGTAAGAGTAATAATATAAACTATAAATTTTTCTTACATATGAAATAAATGATTGTAAATATGAAATTGTGTTTCTTTTACAAAATACAAATATGTGGGTCAATTTTTATATTTATAAAAATATATAAAATCATGATACTAGATTTTCAAATTAAGTTTTTTGAAGAATTTGAGATTTCATCTCATGATTTGAAATCGTAAGATGAAATCACATGTCCAAAGTTGTTTGTATATGTTACAGAATTTATTATAAACTCTTACATACTTTGAACCCTATGTGTAAGATGATTGATTTTAAAAATGAAACTATTCTTATAGAAACTAATTTTGATAAATCTAAGGTTGTTACCAGAAGACCTATTCGGTGAGATGAAATTGATTTCCCGCAAGAGTGAGTTATTGAAGGAGCAGCACAACCAAAAGATAATACCAATAATGAGGCTTTAGAAATTGAACAGGATGGAACTGTTAGAATTAAGTTTTCTGACTCTATTGCTATGCATAATAGGATTGATAATCATAGCATGTCTTCTAGAATCTCTAGATCTAACTCCTCTTATATTTCTCATGTTGATTATATTGTACAAGTTCCTTCTCGCGCATCTACTTCTCAGATTAGAGAAAATTATAGATGTGACAATATTAGAATTGATAAAGATAATATTGCTAGACCTATGCCTAGGCCCAGCTCAGATTTAGATATAACTAAGTCTGAAATGAATTTTCCAGATGGAATCTCTACCTAAAAATTATTTTATGATAGAATGAAAATCAAATTGATTTTAGTCCGGGTTCACCGGCGAGAGAAAAGGTTTCTAAAGAATTTCAGAAATCTAGATAGAAACCTTTTAGAAAATGATTCTTTAAAAATTTTAATAAAGAAGAACAAATGGGTTTTCAAGAAGAATTTTACAAGGATCTTATTGATTCTAAGAAAAATGTTTTAATTGCTTTTGTTCCATGGTTTATGGCCAAACATGTTCGTAATTATATCTCTATGATAGAAAGAGATTTTACTTTAAGTACTGGAGAAGTTATGAAATATGTTTTTCCTCTTTTACAGTCCTTTCAAATTAAAAAATATGATAAGATTGTTTATTTTAATGCTTTTTCAAAATTATTT